TTATATTTTTGGTATCTTTCAATAATATATACTATATTGTATCTTTTGTGTCATGATTTATTTTGAGTAAAATATTAACAAGATTTTTTTTTAAACTCATGTTTAACTCTTTATTAGTCACATCCGTTTGAAGCAAGCAGATAAAAAATAGTTCGAGGGTTTTTTATTTCAAGCAAAATTTCAAAAAAAGAAAAGAATAAGAAAATGTTTCTCGCTTGTATCTCTGTCGTCTTTGAATAATGCATTTGAATCTTTTGTGTCACGATCTATTTTGAACAAATTTTAAGAATATTTTTAACTTGCATATTTTACTCTTTATTATTCACATCCAATGTAAAGTATACGGATAAAAAATTCAGTTTGAAGGTTTTTTTATTTTAAACATCAAGATTTCGGAAAAAATATTTATATTACTCGCATTACATATTTCCAGCATCTCAACATTTTTTAAGGAAAGAAGGTATATTTATATACAGAAAGAACGATTTGACTGAAGTATTTAAAAATTTATTACAGATCTAAAAATAATTTTGTATCAAAATAATTATCTAGGAATCTCAAGCATAATAAGCAATATTGCAAGAACTTTTAACATTCCAGCAATCAACTTAAGCACTCCTACATTTTGATAGTCCAAAATTATTTTCAGATGTGTATCTAGCTTTTTAGTTATACTTATCTGTATCTAAATTTTTAGTTATATTTAGCAAAACCTTTCCGTATATCATTAAAAGAACATTTTAAAAGCTTAGAAGATTTTAATGAAAAGGCTATAATTAGCCAAGGAAAGGAATAATAATCTGTGTAAAAAATGATTTAAAAATTAATTATTTTATACAACTTTTTCATTTTGATTCTCCGCGCTTTTTATCATCATTGCAAACAGTTTCGCAAAACAAATTACAAACTGAATGGTCGTTACTGGCAACAATCAGCTTCCGCGGTCAACAACGACGAGCGGCGTCTCCACCGCAATATGTCGTACCCAGGTATTCTCTACCGCGCGATCGTTGTCGCTGAATGGCAGCGCAGCAGCTTTCGACAAACTTTCGAAAACTGAAACTGTCGAAAATTGAAACAGCCGGACCTCGAAGATTGGACCCCGTAGCTTACTCGGCGCGCCCGCGGAATTACGGAACGACGGTATCACGTGTAACCCGGACGCGACGCCTAATATTCGCCCGAGACCACCGCGGGGTTGAAACTTTACCTACCCTTCCGACAGCATGCAACTGCCGGCATGCAAACGAGACTCCGAGGTATTTCGAATAGTTAAAGGTTACCGATACCGAAGGCCGAGAAATCGAGAGGAAGCCGTGAAAAAGGATCATCGTTACTCGTCTCGTTTTTGGTTTCGCGCAAAAATAATCTCGTGCTAATCATAAAATATCTATCATTAGATATCATCTACTTGAATTAAGTTCATGAGATATTTAAAAAATGATCTTTATATAAATAAAGGCTAAAAATAAATGATATCGTGGCAAACAGATATTTCGCAGGCTTTGAAATTCTGATATCTGATATTGCGAAGCGTGAAAAATTCGCGAATCTCGTGCGGCGTAACAAAACCGTAAAACGATGAAACAACTGAAATATTATCCCTGCTTTTATCCCGCGACGACAATCTCATTGGCCTTTGTCGAATGCGATACGAAGCTAATTTCCATGCTGGAGTGCGCGAAGTTATAAAGAGGCGCGAATGAAGGAAATTGGGTGAAGCAAGGAAAATTACTATAATCAACTCTAAGATGAAGTAACAATTATCTACACATCGCGATGTCTTTAAGACCCGCATTTGCAGTTGTTACTTGAATCTCGTTTCAGAAGCGTCTCGTGTCAGACGAAATGCTCGAGTTGGAGTTGTATATCTTGAAACGATTCAATAGTCGTGACTTATAGTAGAAATTGAATAAAAAAAACTGCGTTTACATTCAAACTGAGAAGCGAAGAATAATTTTTCACGTGAAATCTGATTCTATGACTGATATTCATAATTAGTTCTTACTTTTACGGAAAAGATGGTTTTACTGATAATTATATAAGCAAGATACAGATCTGAAAATAATTTTGTTAAATTATTAAAATAATTATATAAGATATTAACTTTAATGGCTAGAATATTGATTGATACTTGACATTCCTATGTAATTATTTTGGTAGTCCGACGAAATTATTTTTAAACCTATGTTTAAATAAATTTTTAGATGCTTCAACAAAATTATTCTTTTCATGTAAGATCGTCTTAAGTACAGTCTTAAGATATCATAAGCCAATATTAACATAGAGCCATATATTAACATCTTAAGACATTATTAAAAACAATCTTGAAATAAGAACTATAAAAATACCAGCCGATTTCATTCCAAAAAAATTATGTATTATACATACATTAATAAGTTACTTATCAAAATTACAACAGATCAACTTATTGATACTAAAATAAATTAAAATTAATACAATTAACAGTTACTAAAATATTAATACTATTATAAAGATTAATGAAATGAATAATATTAAGTAAAAAATAAACCATATTTGATCAAAACGTGTCTTGGGGTCTAATAATATTTTCATGGATTTTTACAATTTCCAGTTTATTAATAAAACGATTATTTTGACGAACGGTGCAATATCACAGACAGCTTTATTTCGTTCATTCAAGAAAGAAAGAAAGAAAGAAGCCCCGCGCGCTCAGCCGTGATCGCAAGAAGAATTTTTCCGAACGCTGTAATATCTCCGATTTTCTCCAAGTCGCGCACATCCGCGGGAACCGCTATTGAATTTATTATTATGCATTTATGTAGATTGAAATTAATATTAGAGGCCCGCGTGAGCGAGTGAACGAATCAGGCGTCGCGATTCTAAACGATGATTCCGCGGAAATCTCGCGATTGAATTCGAAGTCATGATTAGTTTCTCAGCTTACTTTTCTCCACACCCTTCGTTCTCGTAGTCTGGCGAAAGTTTCAAACTGGAATGCTCCCTTATCGTTTCTCCGATTGATTTACATTTGTTTAATAAAGTAACGCGGTCACTTTCGCTCGCTCGCTCGCTCGCAGAAGTCGTTCCCTTTTGCACTTATTGTATTAATTTGAAAGAGTCACTGTTGAATTAAATTTCGGATCCCAGGCGAACGTTCTTTTATTAAGCGGATAAAAGCGGTGCAGTTCAACATAATGGCTGCTTTTTGAATCAATCAAAAATTAGCTTCAAATTGTAAAAAATCAAATGACAATAACTACCAAGTTAGAGCGTATTCGGATTCCCACCAAGGTGTCATGTCATTCTTGTTTAACGTTTGATAGATAACAACACAGAAAAAAAGATTTTCTCTAGCCGCAGCTAATTTTGGTTTGTTATAATATATTTGCTGGTTTTAATTTTAATCTGTTTTGTTCTAATACACATAATCGTCAATCTCCAATGCATAGTGTAACACGGGCATTAGAAAATTGTTTTGTTCTCCGTGACCTCTGAGTTGCACTCAGGAAGAGTTACTTTTCTTAAACGTTGTGATCGTGAATCGGATCGCAACCTTATTGAACTCGAGTCGCTATAACTCAACCATTCGAAACTCGCGGTACAATTGCTGCCGATATACTCGGGATCGACAGCATATACATATAATGCCGTTATATATCCCATCGTAGTCGTATAAATCTCGATTTTTGTAGGACCGCGAATTTCTTCGTGCATTTCCGCGGACGTGCAACACGTGCGCGTGGCAGACGATATTCCAGCGTTGAAAATAGATATATCGAAACGTCGTGGCGCCGATCGAACGTTCTCCACATTTCGCATTTCCGAGCGTGTAAACAACACATACGAAATACGCAAAACAGAGCGAAATAAATGCGAGTCACGATTGTGCACAAGGTAAATCATACACTTCGATCAAATTGTATCTCGCTCGATGGTATTGTTCTTTCCACGCCGTGTACCTTTGCGTAATAATATAGTAATAATAATACACAGAGACCAACGTTGTATTTTAATAGGAAACGAAACGCTCTTTCTTCAGATTTATCAGTCGACAAGATAAACGTCAAAAATTGGCGAATCGTTTCGCACAAATGTCGCTCCTGTAAGAATATCGGAACAAAGATATATTGAAAGATCGATTTTATTAAGATTTTCTGTGAGATATCGGCAAACGTTTATCCGGCGAAGCCTGATGTACCGAATGATAAGCTTGTGGAGGAACATTGAGAAAAATACAAGAATATGACATATATTATATTCTTTTCATATAATTTGTCCTTTTTTCCCATTTTTTTTTCTTTATTCTCAATCGAGATATTGCCCGCATATTTTGTGAAAATGCGAAGCACATAATTATATAATTTCTAGTTTCGTATTTCTATTATATAATTTATATATTTTTTTTTATTATTAAGTATATGTATATATAAAATTATGTATAATATTTTGTGATCTTAAATTTTGTGGTCTTAAATTTTTATGTTTGAAATTTTTATCTTAGTATAATTTTGATGCATGTGGATGTAAGAATATTTATGCATTAACTCTTAATTTTGATGAGTTATTAGGTGATCGAGTCAGTCGGATGTCTACCGCCAAACAATGAATTTAAAGTCAATTTTAAAAAGTATCCAAAATTGAATATTTCGTCCGAGAATCTCCTTCTCATATCCGAATCACAATTACTAAAATCACAACGCATATAAATGCGCACAAATGAATTAGAAATGTTATATATATAAATGTATACTATTCTATTATATGTATATACATATAATAGAATAATAAAATTCAATAGAATACTATTCAGTAGAATAGAATAGAATAATACAATAGAATACATATAATAGAATAGTGTATATATATATATATGTAAAATAGCATTATTTAACATTTCCTACATTTCCAATTGAAAATTTTTTTCTCTCCAAATTGTCTATGTAGACATAAAGATTATCTTTCAGAACTTTTCATATTTTATAACACACAATTTCAAATATTCGAAAGTAGCGGAGACAAAGTTCCAATAAAAATAAACTTTCCGACTGTTTCAATACATGAAGACATTCACTTTAAGAGTCCTCTTTACATCTTTATGCATTCTTATTGGCACCATAAAACTGCCTGAAGCTTTCGTAAATATCATTATTCAATTTCACGCGTTTTCGCGACTTCCGACCTGTTCTGAATCCATTTAATTCCCGCATTCGATATGCCGGGGCTACGCTGGCGATAGTTAAGGGCGACTTCGTGGGAAACGTCACGTATCGCCAGAATTCGTTTATCGGCGGCGATATCCTAATGATGCGATCTCTCTTGCGATCGCCGATTTCGTTATCCTCGATAGACTTCGCCTTATTTTTCACGATCTCGAATATTTTATTGCTCGGTTGCCGTCGCGTAACATTCTTCAAAGATTGTTTCAAGCAGTTACCGAGTATCCTCATTGCCGCTTTTTTCGCGTCGTCCTGATGATACGTGATCGTCGTGTCAAGATCGCTCGACGACGTAACGTTTCGCGTTCGACGTGTCGCGTCGGATGGAGCGAATGTGATTGTCCCGTTGGGACTCGATAAGTTCTTCATCGTCGCGTTCGACTTTATCCTCGAGTCTTTTTTGGTAACCAATCGCATTGCATTCAAAAACGTGCACGGACAATGATTAATCACATTGTTACTCGAAATTTCGGCTTTCGAAGAATTATTATTTGGGCAATGCGATTGGCTCTTATCCTCAGCCACGGTCGTCATCGTTTCTTCTATCATAGATTTCCTGAAGTGAAATTATTAAGCTAATTAGTGTCGTCGAATTCTATCACATTTTGGTGGTTTAATGATAAAAAAAAAGAAAGTTTTTATTAAAAATAAATATATAAACGCATTCATGATTTATTGTAACTTTTTAATTGAGGTATCAAGAAGCTGTTAGCAGCGGAACTTTTGCGTTAAGGACTGGAGGAAAAAAATTGTCGGACAAATTGGATACGATTGAAACCCTTTACATATATACGCCGTAAAACTTGCGTGGATTTAGACCGGCCCCGTAATGGTAGCAATTCGATAAATTCATCATCCAGGACTTCTCTCTTCTCGTTCCTCTTAGCTTAAATCCCAACTTAAATAGACGCGAAACGTGTACTGGACTAAAGTTCGAGCGAGTTTGATTACAAGGGAACGTGTCTCCAACTGCACTTACCTTCAGCAAATAAGCTACTGCTGAATTGTTAAAGCTCATTTTCAAAGAATCATGCGATTCGCGCACTTAAAGTTTTCGCGAGGAACTTCCGTCACGTTCTGCAAATCAAATATTTAGCGAACGTATGCGCTATTTTAATGCATCGCCGAAACACGTAATCGAGAATAGTAATAAGAGAAGAGAATAGATAATTGTTCGCAGTAATTGACCATTCAATTATATCGAATCTAATAAGATAATTAACAAAATGAAAACGGCGAAGACGGGTTTTCCAAGAAATCGAAACGTATCTTCCTCCCTCGAAGATTTAAGTGAGAAATACATAGAAAAACGTAAGACAATAAAATGTAAGCAGTAAGCGAATTAACCAATCATGATAGAGAAATTAGGGCAATAATTATGTTTTCTACTGTGATTGATCGATTCACTTAAATATTATTTCCTTATGTTTTTTTATGTGTATCTGACTTTAGAAAAGAAAAGAAATTTCTTTCGGCTTACTTTGCGATCTTCGCCTCAGAATCCGTCACGTCAATACGTTCCTCCATTTGGTAATAAGCAATTATCAATATTCGCATCAACCGAACGAGTTTAAGCTTGATGATCGACCCATTAGGTTGAGCTTCTCGAAGCAACAACAGTCTGGCCCAGTCCGACTTCAGCGTACCGAAGGGCAGAGCGGAAATCGGACACTTAAATCCAGCGGTCATCATGTTTACGGTAGGCACGTCCGTGAGATTTAATTTCGACAAATGATTCTCGATCTCGTTGACATCAAACTTGGCCAGGTCCAAACAGCGATCTGGAATGCCACTCGCACATTCCGCTGCAAAAGAAGAAAAAATACATCTAGGAATCTTGTTTCTCCTCTCAAATGAATCGTAAAGTGAATTTTTTTCTTTTACAGAAATATTAAAAATTGTAATATTATAAATCCGTAATTTCATCTTTTTTTATAAAAATGGAAATAGTCCTTCGCGTTACGTGGCTCAGTTGTCATTAAATTTTCTCTATGAGGAATCGTGTTAATCCTTTGCGGTCCAAATTATTTCTCAAACGTCTCATCTTTAATTTAATTTAAAGACAATTTTAGATAATTCATATTTAAGTTCAAAATAGTATTTATAGTACTTAATTTAAAACTGTCTTAAGTACTGTCTTAAAATGTCATCTTAACATCTTAAAACATTACTTAAGATGATCATGAAATAAAAACGAATTACCGGCTTATTTATAATTTATATGCTCTACAATATAAAAAAATGTCTAAAAGATTAAAGGACATAAACAATACTAAATAGAAAACGTTAACATCGCAATAATGCAAATTATGAATAGTTTAAAGCGGGCTTAATCAACAGGTCTAAGAAAGAATTATCATTTTCAGAAATTCATAAAGATTTTAAAAATAATTTAATCATTATTACAATTGAGTGCCTAAAGAACAATGCAAAGAAAAGACGAAGATCTAACTTGATATGAGACTATAGAAAAAATTAATTTTCATTAATTTCATTATTAAATTGTACATATTAATTTCTAAGCTCCCGGTTATTCTTGTGATTCGTAATACAAATCTCGAAACAATGTCTTATCATCCGACGGCGATAATCCAATGTCACTAAAGATTGACGAATAGCCGGAGATCCCTTCAGGAAACATGAAATAATACAGCGTGCACTTACTGTTGACAATTAACACCGCGCAAAAAAGAATTGAAACATACGATAACATTTCTCGCGACATTCCGCTTCTCGAACTGTTTGCGCGGATAAGTGACGGTATGCGAGCACTTCGTTTCGTTAGGATCGGCACATTTTCACCGGCGACTCGCGGTACGACACATGAAATACAAAGCGATTCTCGCTTCTTGTAAAGCGAGAGCTGCATCCGATCCCTCCGCGCCGCGATAAACGTCCAGGAACACATAAGAGTGTTTTCAATCGCTGATATTATATAGCAAGTCAGCTTATTTGTGAACTTCCCTTACCGGAAACGAAATCGTTGAATCATCACTGTAGCGGTTACAATATTAGCATATTAAATGTACATTTCCAACTGAAAACTATAATGAGAATTTCTTTAAAATTTCCAATATTAAATACTTTAACACAGAGCTATGGTCAGAGTTAAAAAATGCTGAAACAAACTCCAATGTTAAATAAAGCGTAACATTTTATAACTTTTTTATGGAGAGAGAGAGAGGGAGAGAGAGAGTTTCAACGAGAAGAATTAATTTTCAATTTATGTTGAAAATTGTCGATGCCCTCTGACAGATATTTGAAAAGATTCGGCGATTTCTGTTGCATAATAAAATAAAAAATTATTTGTTCCATATATGAAGGATTGAAGGAGTAATGAACAAAGGCACTATTACCGAGGTAATTCCATACAGCGTGTCGTTTGTTGATTTATTTTCTGCATCTCGTTGTAGATATATCGTCATCTTAACGTACACTCATTTTCTCTTTCTCACTTTTTCTCTCATACAAACTATTCTAATTATTCGCGTTATGAAACTCCGCACTGTTTGCAATTGCGTTGCATCGACAATATTGATACATTTATATTATCTCTTCGGCCTCATTTTTTTTACAGATACATACCGAATTATATAGCGTTCTCTCTATTTCTCTCTTTCATACACATACAACATACATACATATAAAAATTATGTATAGAATCTATCACGTCATAATTACAAAGTAACTATACGTACATATTTATATAACCATTGTAGAAGCAGTATCTCATCTTTCTTCTTACAGACGCGAATCACATCGACGGACTTGAGACAGGAAAAGTGATAACTCGTAAGACAAAAAACTAAAAAAGCTCAACAATTTCGCACGATTTTTATATAATTAAGGGAAAGCCTGAAGAGAGATCGTTCAAATCCGCACTTACAAACAATCCGCTCTGCAAATATAAAAAATCTCGAAATCGCAGCCCGCCTGCCACACATCTTGTACGTATACGTTTATATACGAACTGTATATAATACACTCTCAATATAGACGCGTTTGCGTATCGCAAAGTCGAAAGGGCAAGATCTCTGCCGTCGAAGGAACTTACTTAGCCACGTATTATTAGCGCTATACAATCGTCATTTCCTTATCCTTTCCTTATCCTCGGGAAAGAAGAGAGTCACGTTGCATCACATTTTTTATTTCGCGAAAGAATCTTCAATATATCTTGAATCGTCCTTCCACAATAAATTACACGTAATCTTAATCACCCTCTAATACGAGATCTCAATGAAATAACACATCACCGTCTGACAAATCACGCGCGTTCAAAACAGAAAGTTTAGAAACTGTGCGGCGACGAAGCGCAAGTTTTGTAAAATTCGACGTGCTTCTCCATCACAAAAAAAATAAAAGCCTAATTAATCCCTAATAGTTAATTATTCCGCACCATGTCTCTCACAATAATTATACTTTTATAATAATTAATCCATAATAGTTCCATCCTTGTCCATGCCGCATTTGCTTCCCTTTCGTTTCCACAACGATTATCTACCCTTCGTAATCTCGCAAACTTCTACGTAACGCATCGCATTTTTATTTTAACGCCCTATTCTTTCCCCTCGTTTAAATCTATCATTTTATTTACTATTTCTATAATGTTTGACAGAGATAAATTCGCTTAACTATTTGAATGTGCCTATCGTTTGTATCGTGTTTGCTTGCTTGCAACCCTGAGACTACGATTCTACCGCCATGGCAAATCGGTGATTACATGTATTATATGTACAAAGAAAAAATGCTTGAAAGAGTAATGAGTATGAAACTTTCGGCAGCGTACATAACAATACCTGACGCTTTTTTTTCTTCTCTCTCATTCTCTTTCTATCTTTTTTTTTTTCGATGAGGCGACCCACACCAAAATATCTGCCCTTGTACGCCCTTAAAATCTTTCTGTGTCCATCGTGCCGGCACGATTGGAGGGCCTTGAGGGGGTAACTTTGCGACGTGAAATAGCAGGAGTTGTACGATTGTTAGTAATTGATCGTAAACTTGCGGAGGAAAAAGTGATTCAGAATTTAACGTAAAGAACGGAAGGAAGAAGTCGGGACGAAATCGGCGAAAATTATTCTTATTCATCTCTCAAGTGGAAGAAATTGGGACAATATGGAAATTTCGAGGGACATGGATCAACGAATATTTTTAAAATCATTGCGGTTCTTTCAACACGCACGTATAACAAAGGAGTGAAAAAAGAAATATTTATTCTACAGATTGACTCCAGCGACAGTGAAATATACAATGTAATGCGCCCAGTAATGCGAATATCACAGTTAAACGGGAAAGCTCGTTAGCCTCAACGAAAGACAAAGGAAAACATCGGTATCGCGTTACACGGAGATGTCATTGGGGAAAAAGTCTTTTTTTTTTAGTCTTAACGAGCTTTAGTCAAACGACAAATACGTTGATGTACATAACACTGCGAAATACAAACTCTCCGCAAAGTAAAACTTCATTTCTGCAATTTTTTTACAAAAACTTTCGATCTAAGCGTGTTGCTCATAGAGCATAGAATGATCCAACAATATTGCCGGAATATTCTATGATTTATGTATCATATTTTCAAACGAAAAAAGGAAAACAAACATTACTCAGACAACTATGTACGAGTAACAAACAAAAAAAACATTCAATGTTTTCAGGACTGTCCAAAAAAACATTAGTATTAAATGTTCCGGAAAAAAATGTTATATATATGGACATATTTTAAAAAATTGATATTCTATATATAATATATATATAAAATGTCAATTTTTTATATAATTTTATATGAAACTATATATTTTTTTCTGCACTTTAATACTATCCTTTGCTGAGACTAAAGTTATCTTTTGTGAAACATTTTTGGATTTCATTAATTTTCATACAATACAAAACATTATAGCAATGTCACTTAAAGAAGGAGAATTAGAATTGCAGAAATATTTCATAGCAGTACATAGCAGTACATATTTATAATAGTAATGCAACACTGCTACAAAAATATAATAAAATATCACCATCAGTAATATTAAAAGTGTTTTTCCACGTCTTTATATTTCCCAAGTAATAACTTTTTTCAACTTTTATCATTTTCAAAAAAACAATATAATTTACTAGAAAATGAAATCAGGCGCGAATGTTTGAATAGAAAAAAAATTCGATATGACTGCAACAGTTTCTGTTTCTTTTCTTTTTTATGTTAGTTACTCAAAAAAATAATGATAGATTATTAGAGAAACGTGAAGAAGAATAACGAGTGCCAGATAGAACCGCAAATTGTTTTCCACAGATTTAAATGCAGAAAGAATAAGGAAAAAGACGCTCGTAGCCTACGAGCAGAAAATAAGGACAATTAAGGGACAGCGAAAAGATATTATTTTGTTATTAAGGAAAGTGAACTGCGTGTCCTAACTTTATTGCACTCTAGACCTATGACGATAATCCCACGATGTAAGTACGAGGTCCGCATGCGGTTTTTGCCACTTCGGCCTTGAGAAAATAATTTTCTAATTACAAATAAATAAAAAATAAGAGACGAGAAAGAATTAAACTTGAATCTATTGTTTGTCTTCTTAAATGGCTTACTATTAACTCTAGCTCTTAATTTTAAGAAACTAGATAATCTTCTTCTATACAACTGAAGTGATTATAAGCGAAATTGATAAAAACCGCTGTAGACTCGCAACTGATAATCGTCAAACGAAGCTTCATGAAACTTACTCCTTTTCTATATATCTCTCGTTTTCTTAAAAAATTTCTTATCGTGAAAGGCATGTATAATGTTATAATCGCGCATAAGTGTGTCGATAATATTATGCTCGCTGATTTTCGTAACAATGATAATAATTAGTGACAACTAGATAATAAAGATCCCTGAATATAATAGTGGTAATAATAATATTAATTGTATATCAATGTAATAATAGTGACCGTAATGTGTTATAAAAATAATATTAATAATTATATATTAGCAATAATATATTTTTCTGCTTCTTCTCTTATGTGGCACGGGCATAACATAACACGATCGTTTTAACAACCGGATAAATACTTCTACTGCCAACAAAAGCATGATAATATGGCAATTATCTAGCCGATAATTCTTAAAATATATTTCAAATACAAAATCCCAATTTTCTGCGTAGAAACAGCGTGTCTCCAATTGAGAAACAATTTAGACATTCTACCCGCTATCTTTCTTCCGTTCGCCTTCTCCTATTTTAACTTGATCTCTCGTTTATATTGTACAAAGATGTATTCTAAGATAATATACAAGACATATCTTTCTCTACATCGCTATAACTATGGATGTTCAATACAGCTATCACAAATAGATCGATTAACATGATTCGATTTCTTTTCACATTTAAGCTATTATAATTACAAGGATTAATGCAAAAGAGACAATATGTTTACATATATATTTATGTAACGGGAGATGATCTCAATCGCTCCTGTTAGGATACAATGAATAAAACAAAAAAAAAATATAAAAATAAACAATGATTAAGAGAATAGAGAAAATGCCATTCAACAACAGTAATTTTGATTGCTGATTCTTAATATCAATGATATCATGGCTACGATGTTAAACACCCACAGTTATTACATCTTATCTTATAATTACTATATTCAGTGTTACGATCATGACAATCGAACGGAAACACTTTATTTGGTAATAAAGCCATCGATTGGCTTCCACATACACCTATCCTAAAATGAGTACTCTGAAAGTCTTCTCGCATCTTGTACTGTTATGTTCCAACATAAAAATTATATTTTTCCTCCTTTTTTTCTTTCTTTCCTTTTTTATATTTCTTCCATACTCTCTTTCTGTACCTGTAAATGGGGTACTCGACAAGGAAAGTTTAGATACTTCGAACGAAGACTACACATGTCTGCCATTTAGAACGATTTGTGAATCACAACGAACGATGGAGAAACTGTCCGAACTCACACTTTCAGCGTCCTTCTCGTACAAAAAGAAAGAAAAAAAGAATAAAAATTCACGAGTTCATTAGAAAATAAAAAAGATCGATAACTCCATTTCTCCCACGCACTAACACTCACTGGTGTCTTCGATAATGCAACAACACATCGAAAAACGTGCCCAAAATAATGATGTACAATAATATATAATCACACGATGTGAACATCATCAGCTTACAATAAACAACAGTATTCTGGTAATGGGCGATCGAGTTATCAAATTTGAGACGATCAAGTGTATCTCATCGATAACAAACATTCTCCAACATCTCCTCGAAAAGCTTGTTCATTGGTACTTTGCCTATTCTATACACATTGGACCAGAAACGTCTAATGACCCCATCGGCCTGTCTGAGACTGGGCAGTACTAGTAGCATGTTTTGCGTGGCTCGGAGTGCTTGACCCGGTCTCACCGCCGCCACACAATCCGACAAGGAATTCAATATCGAATCTCGGAAACGGTACAGCGCCTGAGGTTCATCAGATCTAGCGTCACTATTCGCTAGGATCAATGCTTTCAGCACATAGTATTCTTCTCGTGTTAAACCTAACCGCTGGATTCTCTCGACGATTTGCATACACTGTTCAAAAAGAAACACAATACAATAAAAATCTGCACACTGGCGAATCGTAAAAACGTAAATACAATAAAGCAATTTAATGTTAGCTCTCTATTTCGTTATTGAAAAACTTTTTCTAAGCGATTTTAAATGTATATTTGTGAAAGATGAATATGAGAAATATAACTATCAATAGTATATAACATGTAATTTTTCTTTATTATCTTATTAAGTTATCCTGAACATAATAAATAAATTTATTTTTCTGTTTAATAGTATTTACAAATATTAATAATAATACTAAGATATATAACTGTAGACAAACTTTTACAGAAAATTACTTACGTGCGTATAAAGCTCCGTACAATGGCATTCACGCGCGAGTCGTTCGTCCAATGTAAAATCTTGCGCGAACCTCAATCTGCCATTGTTAGGCGTACTTCTCCATGCTAGAGTAAAGGTCAATACTTCAGCCCAAGTAGTTTGCAGAAGCCGCATTTGATCGTTCAACGCTAAGTTGGTGAACCCTGGAATCTGCTTAGCCCAACCTGCAGAAAAACGGATTAAATATTCACTAAACAAAAGAAAATATCAAGCATAACTAATTGTTAACATACAGCCACGCATCCAATAATTACCGATTATGCTGACTAATTCTCGGTCATAGAGATCGGATAGTTGTGCGAGGGTTCTCTGATCCGCCTCCTGTGTACTCGGGGCATTGGTCACTTGAAGTATATCCGGTTCGCAGGCTGCTAAGGCTTCGACCAACTTGTTGTCTGTAAAAGTCGAGACACGATGTGTCTCTTTATTTATATTGTCATAAGATAAAGCGATAAAATATTACTAAATTATTTAACGCTATAAATGAAGAAAGTTTACAAGCATTAAAGAAACAATGAGATGTGATAAATAAATCATAAAATCCAAATAAAATTAAAAGATCAATAAAGCAAATCACATATTGCACAGGAATACATGGTAACAATTATATTTAATAAGCTTACTTATCGTTTCAGTAGAACCTGCCGACACTACGTCGGCTACGTTAGCTTGAAACGTGAAACATTGAGTAATGAAGAATAAAGTTAATGATAGAAATGAGAGAGAGGGAATTATTATTTCTAATAGATGTCTTTTTTCGTTACATGATAAAATAGATATGAGATATGAAATTATATTAATATCAAGTACCCTCTAGTGTGGCATTCTTGATCGGAGTATAAGGATCCGTGGATCTTCTGTACTTTTGTCGACCGCCCCGAACACGATCCAATCTCACGCCTTCCTTCAGCATTCCTTGCCGCAAACATTTCTGAAATCTACACGCCTGGCACGCCTTACGTCTTCGTTTGTTTATCTCGCACTCGCTGTTCGCTGGACAAGTGTACTCGATATTTCCTGTAAAATTATTAGCTATTTTATCGTAATATACACGATCTGTTGTCCCAGGTAGCACCAACTATCCTCAAACCTACAATTACAAAAGGCCATCCAAATATACAGTCTGGAATATAGTAATAGATCATTTATGTTATTATATATATATATATATATATATATATATATATATATATACACACACATACACACACCTATGCAAATATCGTACGATCGAAAATGCACACTAACGTAGTCCTTGGTGCTATCTGGACGAATTATTGCGACCTGTTACGGAAATCGATAAGTCCGCTTACCTTGTATAGTTCTCTTGAAGAAAGCCTTACATGCCTCGCACGAGGCAACCCCGTAATGGAAACCGCTCGCAACGTCACCGCAGACAAGGCAAAGTCTCCTGGGCAACAGATCTTCTTCCTTCATGCCGTCCTACAGAAACGACAATTCTTCACAACAATTCAAATATAAATCATCCCTAATATAAACTCGTTACCCGGAGAAATATTATCGCGATGCGATCACGCACCTCTGGAGTTCCCAACGGCTGCGTCGTCGAAGAACAATGATGCATCTCCGGACTCTCGGGATTAGTTATAGCTCCGTTGCTATCGCCGTAATCCGTAATGTCTAATTTCGTGCATATTGACTAAAAATATATGGTTAAAATAATGATTAACATAAAGTAACATGAAGAA